GGGGAGGCGGAGTGGAGTTGGAGAGACGCAGTACGCCATGGGGGACCCTCATAGTACCGCATGCGCTCTGCCATTAGCGGTCATGAGGGGTGAAAATAACGGAAAAATAGTGGGGGAGAAGAGGAGGAGGACGAGCGTCGCGTTACTGCGGGCTCGTTAGGCCCCTCTGTTACGACACTGGGGCCGCCGCCGCCGCCGCCGCCAGCACCAGCGCGTCACCGCGGCAGCAGCAGGGCCATCGCGCGGCGACAGGTGGTGCGGTGCGGTGGCGCCAGCAGAGAAAGAGATGTCCCGCGTATTTCATCATCATGAGGCACATCGTTGGGATTTACCGAAACAGGCAAGAAAAAAAACAACAACTCAATGATTATAGTGCGCCATTTCCCGCGTTTTCCTACTCCTCGATTTGAGGTTCTTAGTTTTTCTAAGAAGTATAATACATATTTTAATCCTCACAAAATACATCTTGGCGAACTTCTAATGCTGTTTAATCACGCGGCAGTTTATGACGACTCGTCAAGCTGGCGCGCGTTAAAGAGTTTGCGATTCTCTTTTTTTCTCCTGCTCCTGGTTTTTACGCTCTGCTGGTCCTAAAGGACGGCCGGCCGCGCTGACCGGATGTCCCAGCAGCAGCAGCAGCAGCAGGACTCCTTTCGCCCCGCCGCCTCTCGCCTTTCCCCCGTCCGGCGGGGTCCGGTATAGGGTCCGGCCGCGCAGAGCCATCCTTCCACCCGTCCTGCAGCGGCATCGCTCAGCCAAAAACCAACAACAATAAATATACTACAGTCGGACTTTCGCAGTGAAAGCGCACGACTGACGTCCGCTGCGTCCCCGCGCAGCAGCAGCAGCCAGAGGAACGCCCCGCCATCCCGCCTGTAGCACCAAGCCGTACGCCCACCACATCGCCCCGATCATCTGGGTCACCCCGCCGCCACGCCCCGCCCCGCCCCAGGCAGCGATAGCCGTGGCAGCGGCGGGGAAGGCCAAACAGCCTGATGCAGCCGGGCCTGCTGCTTCAGCTGGGCCGTACAGGAAACGGTGCATCGGGCAGGACGACGACGTCGACGACGACGACTGTCACGAGCGAGCGCCGATACATCGGCCAGCCAGACGTCGTATTACGAGCGAGAGCGGCGTACAGGTGTGGGCGGCTCGAGAAATAAATCCCAAAAACTCCCTGATACAAAAATTAACTTCTCTCCCCGAGCAAAGACAAGTGCTTTAAGGCACGACGTGTGTCCACAAGTCGGACGCTCTTGTCGGTAAGAATAAAACCCATATTGCAATACACGCGGCAGTTAATCAATGAAGGGTGTTATAACAAACGCGCGTGTCTAATGAGGTTGTGTTGCACAAGCAGGCGGCCGCAGCGACTTTTATGTTCCGGGCGGCTCATCAGCCCGCGGCGGGAACTTCAAATCGTCGTCGTCATCCTCGACATCCTCTCGGCCCGTACATCACGTCCACGGGAGGCCATCTACTAGCAGGCCGGC